CCCCTCCCTCTCCCTCTCTCTCGATACGGACGCACAGACAGACGCGCGTCTCTGCACGCACGTGCCCCTTCCTGGCGCTCGAAGAAGGGCGGCACAGGGGGAGGCAGGACAGGGGAGGCGCCCGCCTGACCACACACACACACCGACCGACCGGGGAGGGGGGGGGAGGGAGACCCACGCACGCAGACACACACACACACACACACACACGCAAGGGAAGGGCGGCCCAGAGACACTCTCGCCCGCCCCCGCCCCCCTCTCTCCGTAGGGCCTCGCGCTACTAGGCCGAAGGGGCCTGCTGCACCCCGCGGGCAGCCCACCACGCGCTGGGAGGAGGGTTGGGGGCTGGCTGGGTGGTGGCCTGTGCGGGGGCGGGCGGGCAGCAGGAGATTAGCCGCTGCAGCTGGGCTCCGGACCCTTGCCGGAGAGGAGGCCCGAGCGGCGCGCTCCGCGTCCCCAAGGGAGGGCTCAGGCTGCAGGGGCAGCCTCGCCCCCCACGAAACCAAGCCCCGCGCCCAGGAATGCAAATGCGTCGCGCTCAGTCAGGCAACAGCCGCCGGTCTCTTTATTCGTTCCCGCAGTCAGTGCAGAGAAGAAGGGTCAGGACGCGCTGCGGTGGGGCCGCCGGGAGAGCCTATCCCCCCCCCCCTCGGTCCCCCCTGCCGCCCTCTTCTGGCGGGTCAGCGGTGGTGAGCCGGAGCTGTTTGGGGCTTGCCTTCGTCATTGCCCGGTTCCGGATTTCTGTCACCACATGCCATCCCATTTCTGATCTCTCTTCCAGTTATCCAGGGATAGGGTTATGTTTATTCCACAGCCCTTCTCTTCAGCGGACAGACGGTGCAAACAGGGACCCGTGGGAATATGGGGGGTGGGTGGGACAGAGGATGATGCTCCGTAGTAGAGCGCATGGGGTGGGGAGAGGCTGTTTGGCCAGTCCTGGGCAGGGACCTCTGCCTTCAGCCGTAGCTGTGTGGGCTGTTGGGGTTCATGGGGGAAGAGTCTTGACCTCTTGACCGACCCTTCAGCTGCCAAAGCCGATGCCTGAGATGCTGCACCTGGCAGGTGCCCAAGACACAGCCGACGCGCATCAGCTGAGGGTGGAGGAGGCGGCCAGCCGCATGTCGCTTCCTGCGGTGCGGTCCTCGTCTTGAAGCTAGGCCCGAGGGGCTGCTGGTGAGACGCTGAGTGCCCGGCCCGCGTCCCGGGAGGGCACGCGGGTCCTCCAGTTGGCCAGCAAGGAGCAGCAGGGGTGGTTTACCAGTCCACCAAGACTTAAGAGCCTCACAGAAGGGCACCCCTGTCGTCAGCCAGGCTGGGCAGCGGGGTCTCTCCAAAGGTTGCCTGCAACAGACAAATATAGACGTTAATGTGGCATTGACCTTGCCCCCTTGCAACGCTAGGACAATGGGCTTCTGAGTGCGAGAGACTAAGACCTGGTCACTGGCACAGTTGCTAAACCTGGGTCTGGACTGTGCATCTGGCCACTGAGATGACCAGAGCCAGTTTGGTGTCGTGGTTCAGTGCGCGGACTCTAATCTGGGAGAACCGGGTGTGATTCCCCCACTCCTCCACTCGCAGCTGCTGATGTGACCTTGGACCAGCCATAGTTCTGACAAGAGTTGTTCTCTCAAGGGCAGTTCTTGAAAGAGCTCTCTCAGCCCCACCTACCTCACAGGGTGTCTGTTGTGGGGAGGGAGAGAAAGGAAGTACCCCTGGCAAACTACTGTTTGGCGCCAGGTGTGCCCATCTGAATTTAGAGGGCCATTACTTTCTATGGGAAGACTTGGGCCTTGAAATCCAGGGGCCAGGCCTCCCCCCCCTCCCCGAAAACAAAAGGCCCTTTTGAATGGTAAGTCTCTGGAGTCCATGGCTCAGGTCTACCTCCCACTGAAAATTATGGCCCTTGATACTCTACAGGGATCTGTTGTTAACTATTTTCCCTTCTGAGAGAGAGAGACACTACAAACACCAAAATAGATTTCTACAAGGGGGGGGGACCCCACAAGGATTTGTGGGGGGGATCTCATTTTCCTCCTCCCCCACTATTCCCTTTTTCCTTTTCCTGAAAGTCCCCATACCCTTTCCCCGCCTCCTTCCCATGCCCAGCGGATGCTCTGTCACTGGGCGCCTGACAGCCCCTTCCTTCTCTCCTTCCCACCCACCAGCCAGACTGCCCTTATCTTCCCAACACCCCTTTCCAGCTTTCCCTCCCCTGGCCACCTCCCCGTGGGAAGAAAACTCTGGCTCAGTGGCGCAGTGCCCGTCGCCAGGCCCAGTTGTGTGGGGCCGGCCAAGCTCAGCCCAGTTGCACAACAGGGAACCTGCGAGGAGGACTCACTTCCCCCGTCTTCCCACACGGTCTCCTCCACCCCACCTCCTGGATAGCTCCAGTGGCTGCCCATCAATTACGGGGCGGAGTTCAAGCCCTTCCTGGCCTTGGAACCTCATGGCTGCAAGATGAGTTGGTTTTGTACCCCGTTCTTCAGTCCCCGAAGGAGTCTCAAAGTGGCTTACAATCGCCTTCCCTTCCTGCCTCCACAACAGACACCCTGTGAGGCAGGTGGGGCAGAGAGCTCTCTCGAGGACTGTGACGGGCCCAAGGTCACCCAGCTTGCTTCATGTGGAGGAGGAGGAGGAGTGGGGAACCAACCTCCCCCCCCCGTTCTCCATGTTAAAGTCCGCCGCTCTTATCCACGACACACACCTGGCTCTACCACAGCAGCTTCCCGCGTCTGAGGAGGGCCTTCTGCAGGTGCCACCCTGCCAGCAGGCAAGGTCAGTGGGCGGCCTGGATGCCCGTGCCTCTTCTCTGTGTCGGGGCCCCCACCCTGTTGGGGAAAGGCCTGCCTGACGCCCTGAGGAAGGCTCCCCCACTATCCTGGCTTTCCACAAAGCAGGCCAAACGGAGTTGTTTAGGAGGGCTTTTTACAGGATTGCTAGTTAGAGCCACACTGCAATGAGACTGTTCAGAAAGATGCATTGGCAAAGGGATGGGGACTGTAGACTGTCCTGTCTGTCGCTGCGAGGGTGCTCCCACTCTTATTTCTCTGTTATTTAAACGTGTCATGTTTTAAATGCATGTTTTGTTTCAGCTGTCAGGTTTCTACTCGTTTCCAGACTTCTGCCCTCCAAACCGGATTGCACTGTTGACCGGATGCCCCAGCCTCGCCACTGCATTTGACTGACGCGGCATAATAGGCCTTCAGACTCCGCGACAAAGGTGTACTGTTCGTGATGCTTAAAAACCCCTTTCATTGCTTGCTTCTCTCCTTCCCACACACCAACTAGCCTTTTATCTGCCTCATCTCCAGCTATATTTATTACTTGTTTCCTTCATTTAGACATCAGCTTTCTCCCTGACGGGGACCCAAAACAGCTGACATCGTTGTCCTCGCCACCCTTTTATCCTCGGAACCACCCAGCGAGGCAGGTGAAGCTGAGAGTGTGTGATGGCCGGCCGAGGTTACCCCCTTGGTTCTTCCATGGCAGAGAGCCAAACGGAACATAAGAACATAAGAGACGCCAATGTTGGATCAGGCCAAAGGCCCATCCAGTCCAACACTCTGTATCCCACAGTGGCCAGAAATACCAGTGCCATCAGGAGGTCCACCAGTGGGGCCAGGACATTAGAAGCCCTCCCACTGTTGACCCCCCCCCCAAGCACCAAGATGACAGAGCATCACTTGCCCCAGAGTCCCTATCTATACCTTGTGGCTAATAGCCACTGATGGACCTCTGCTCCATATGCTTATCTAATTCCCTTTTGAAGCCGTCCATGCTTGTAGCCGCCACCACTTCCTGAGGCAGTGAATTCCAAGTGTTAATCACTCTTTGGGTGAAGAAGTACTTCCTTTTATCCGTTCTTCTAACCCGACCGCTCTGCAGTTTCATGGAGTGCCCACGAATTCTTGTATTGTGAGAAAGGGAGAAAAGTACCTCTTTCTCTACCTGCTCTTTCCCATGCATAATCTTATAAACCTCAATCATGTCACCCCTCAGTCGTCGTTTCTCCAAGCTAAAGAGCCCTAAGCGCCTTAACCTTTCCTCATAGGGAAAGTGTTCCAACCCTTTTATCATTCGAGTTGCTCTTTTCTGCACTTTTTCCAAAGCTATAATATCTTTTTTAAGGTGTGGTGACCAGAATTGCACACAGTATTCCAGATGAGGTCGCACCATTGATTTAGATAGCGGCATTATGATATTGGCTGATCTGTTTACAATACCCTTCCTAATAATCCCCAGCATAGCATTGGCCTTCTTTATTGCAGTCACACACTGTCTCGACATTTTCAGTGAGTTATCTACTACAACTCCAAGATATCTCTCTTGATCAGTCTCTGCCAGTTCAGACCCCATCAACGTGTATTTATAGTTAGGATTTTTGGCTCCAATGTGCATCACCTTGCACTTGGCCACATTGAACCCCATTTGCCATGTTGACACCCACATTACAGCATCCACAGGTCCACACCCATTTTAGAGCTGAACTTGAGCCATTTAAAAATGCCCCAGCAGAGCCAGGAGTTCTCCACCCCCCCACGCCTTTTCACACAGCAGAACGGTGAGGGGGGTGGCCGTGGACACCAAAATGTCTAGTTTCACCCATAGTGGGAATTCAAATGTAGGTTTCAGAAATGCAGATCTGAAACTCTAATCATGTCAGGCTGGCTACTGTGGGGTGGTTGCTGTTGAACAGTAGCAAGCAGCTAGGTCTGGGTGAGTCATGCAAGTCATATGGTGGCAAATTACCCGGTGGTTGCTGCCAAGCCCAGTCCAGACGAATCCTCCCTCAAAGGCCGAAAGGGCCCTGCCCCCTCCCCCTGCTCCTTCCTGACAGAAACCAAGTCTTGAAGGCTGGCAATACTGCTGTAGTCGCCTAGCAACACCCACTAAGGGCAGACACCACTTCTATCATTATGGAGGATTTTCACACAAACACACCTTGGGTGTGTTTTAAGATTCCATGGGGGTGTTTTTTTCCTGCACACCTGGTACTTTCCTTAGGGTTGTGGAAAGATCTGTCTTGTCTGTCCATGGTCCCAGTCTCCAGAGTTAAGCGCCCACAGTTGTCAACACACTGATGACTCTCGTGTGCCCAGAAGGGGCAGCAAGAGACCAGAATATACGCTCCCCGTTCTCCCGTGTCTGGATGAAGCGGCGGCAGCAGCAGCAGGTCTGAGGGAACATGTGGGGATCCCACTGCCTGGGGGCTTCATCGGAGCCAGGCCCGATATGCCCCCCCGCCTTCAGCTGTGATGAGCACTGTCCGATACCACCCACCGCGGCATCCCTCCAGAGAGGCTGGCTGGATGGGGAGGAGGGAGCGCCAGACTGGGTGGTTCAGCTCTTCCTTGGCTGACCAGTTTCAGGAGGTGGTGCCGTGGGGTGGGGTGGGGCTGCTGCTGCTTAGCACCACCCTGGGGGTTTAGGCTCTGAGGGGCACCACAGGGCTCCATCTTGTCTCCCTGCTGTTTGACATTTACACAAAACCACTCAGAAAGTTCGTCAAGGCATCTGAAGTGCCACCAATATGCAGATGACACACAAGGCCACCCAGCTGGCTTCATGTGGAGGCGTGGGGCAGACAGCACTTTCTATCAGCTTTGGTGTGCCACTCCTGAAAAAGCCCATCTCCAGTTGCCACCCAGCTCTCGCCCCTGTGTGTGTGGGGGGGTGGGCACCGAGAGCAGGGCTTGTGAGGCAGATCTTCAGGGGCAGGCTGGGCAGGAGCAGGCCCTTAAAGGTTATATATTGATCCTGGAAACAAATGAGCAAGCAGCGTAGATCCTTCCACACCAGAGTGACACAACCTCTATTTGACGGATATCCCTGTACTCTTTTGAAAGACAGCACACTACAGTGATCTAACCTGGATGGCATCAGAGCGTGGATTGCCGTGGTGGTCAGATCACGCTTCTGGAGGCATGACTGCAGCTGGCGTATCAGCCAGAGCTGATCGAGAGTCCTGTCTGTGTGCCACAGAGAAGACCTGGGCTTCAGTTTACTGGCTCTCATCCATCCCAGCTGGGAGGGACAGTCATCTCTTGCAGACCACAGGTGAGACCAAAACAAGACAGCCGTGGGGGTGGGGCAGAAGGCACCGCCCCCTTCCAGAAGAGTTAAGGGGGAACTGGAGGGAAATCTCCCATTCTAGCCCACAGGAGGGGAGAGGAGGGGACCGGAAGCAAAGACTGGAGGGAGGAGCGCACACACACACACACACACAGAGGAAAGGAGCTACCTGCCGCAGGGGGGGGGGGGGGGGGGGGGGGGAGGCACGTGAATCACTGAAACCAGCCGCATCAAAGGCTCTTGGTCCTCCCACAGATGCTTTCAAAACAGCCTCCATCCCTTGAGCACAAAGTCTGAGTCCAGCCAGGCACCTTGAAGACCCACAAAGTTTTATTCAAGGCAAGAGCTTCCCACACTCCCTCGGACACAGACTGACACAGAATTTCCTCAAGCCACACATGCAGAAAGATTGGGGGGGGGGGCAGTCAGAGCCAAGGTGCATCATGAGTAAAGCCCCTCCCCAACAGACATCGTTTGAAGCCAGCAACTGGCTTCAGAGAATCCTGGAAGATCCACGGCTGGAAGAGCGACAGCCTCCGGGGGGGGGGGGCTCCGTTTAGTCAGAACTCTGCACAGGGGCAGCCACAGGCGCTCCACTTGCTCCCAGCAGGGACCGGGCCAAGCACAGCCCTTGCACCCGTGACCCTTGGTTGGCCCGCGCACCCGTTTGTCCACAAGGCAGATGTTGTGGATGTCTGGGCACTTGTGCCAAAAAGGTTGTCCACCCTTGCAATAACCCCTACTTAGCCAAGAAAACACAGGCTTGGTTGGGACCAGTAGATGCAGGAGACGGTCTGTAAGAGTGTCTGTCTGCCTCATCTCCTTCCCCTGACCAGCATGGTGGCGGCGGCGGCAGGACCACCCTCAGAGAACTACGGTCTCTGGTTCTTCCTGGCAGAGACAGGTGTGCATCTTGCCAAGGGCCTTTGGGGCCTTCCCTGGCTGTCTGGCAGAAGTGGCCACCCCCTCTCGCCTTTGACCACAATCTGATCGCCTCTGCAGCTGACTGGGAAGGGCAATGGTGGTGCTTGGACATACTGGCCCCTCTGCTGGACCTCCTGGTGGGCCCTGGTATTCTTGGCCACTGTGTGACACAGAAGAGTGTCGGACTGGAGGGGCCACTGGCCTGACCTGACATTGGCTTCTCTCTGGTGTTCTTTCTTGTGTTCTTTCCCAGCAAATGCCCTCAGCATTTAATCTGCTCTCCCATTCTGAAAATCACCAGGGAAGGTCACCTGGGCACTTGGAGAAGGGAATCATCTGTGTGCCAAGAAACCCACCCTCCTTTTCAACCAAGGCAGGTGTCTGGGCAAGGTGAATTAACCGAACATCCATCCGGGTTAAATGAGATGACGGGGGTTCAGCAAACCGGTCAACAGAGGACAAGCATGTTTTTGATGGGGTTATGAACTCTTGAAAAGATCAGGCTTCCACCTTGGGGGTTCTCATAGGAGCACAACAAGAGCCCTGCCTGGTCAGACGAGTGGTCCCTCTAGTCCAGCAGCCTGTCTCACACAGGGGCCAGCCCCTTGCCCAGGGGGGGCTAATAAACAGGGCGGAGAGACCAAGGCTGCTTTACCCTGCTGTTGCCTCCTCGGTTTATTGCCTCTGAATGTGGAGTTTCCCCCATGCTCCTCACCGTGGCTAGGAGCCACTGATGAACCCATCTTCCATTATTCTGCTCCCTTTACAGCCATCTATGCTTGTAGCCATCACCACATCCACCGACAGTAAATTCCACAACATAATCGCTTGATGAGTAATGAAGTATCTCCTTTTGTCTGTTCTGACCCTATTGCTCACCAACTTCATTGGGCGCCCTCAAGTTCTGTTATGGGAGAGGAAGCAAAAGCTCCCTCTATCCATTTTGTCATAATTGTATGCACCCCTGGCACCACGGTGGCTCAGAGGTTAAGATGCTGAGCTGCAGACCAGAAGGACTGTGGTTTGGCAGTTCGAGACCCGAGTGCCACATGATGGAGTGAGTGCCTGTCTCTGGCCCCAGCTCCTACCAGCCTACCAGTTCGAAACTGCAAGTCGATAAGTAGGTACCGCTTGGGTGGGAAGTTAACAGTGTTCCGTGTGCCTCGGTGTCTAGTCATGCTGGCCACATGAGCACGGAAACGTCTTCAGACAGTGCTGGCTCTTTGGCTTGGAAACAGAGATGAGCCCCACCCCGTAGAGTTGGATTCAACTAGCTTTCGATCAAGGGAAACCTTTACCACTACTATCGCACCCCCCCCCAGCCTTCTTTTTTTCCAAACTCTTCAGCCTTTCCTCATAGGAGAGGTGCTCCAACCCGATGATCACCTTAGCTGCCCTCTTCTGTAACTTTTCCAGTTCTGCAATTTCTTTTTTTTGGGGGGGGTAAGGTGAGCAGACCTGCACCCAGGACCCCAGAGGAGGCCATGGCTCTGTACCGGAGCATTACTAGTGGCCATTTTACTCTCAGTCCCTTTACCAATTATCCCATTGCCTTTTTCACCACTGCTGCACATGGAGACAACATTTTCATTAAACCATCCACTATAACCTCAAGATCTCCTTCCCTCTCACCTCAGACAGTTCAAAACCATTCAGCATATAGTTAGCATTAGGATTTCCTGCACTAATGTCCATCTCCTGACACTTCTCAACCCTGAACTTTGCCACATACTGATTTTCTCTCAGCAGGATTTGTTACTAGATATGTGTAATAATTCTATCCTTACCAACACTTTCTGCTACTTTACCCGGAACAGATGTTAGGGTAGCTGGCTGTAATTCCCAGGTTCCCCTCTGGACTTTCTATAAGCTGTTGTGATATTTGCCACTCTCCACCAGTTACACACACTGGTTAGATCAACCATGACATATCTGAGTCCCTTAAGAACCCCCAGCTGTGAGCCATCTGGTCCAGAGACTGACTGGTTTTTAATTTCACCAGCAGACCTGGAATATATCATCTCAATTTGACTCAGCTCTTCAGACTCCCTTCCTAAGAACAGTGGCTCTGGTGTGGGTCCATACCCAACAGTTTTCCACAATGAAAACAGATGCCAAGAGCTCGCCCACAGTTTCTCTGCCATCTCATCATCCTTTATCAATCTTTTAATTCCCCTGTCATTCAACAGCCCAATTGCCTCCCTAGCTGGTTTCCTGATAATACTTATTATCCGTAACAAAGATACTTGGATAAATGGCCCCTCCCCTCCCCAAGCTTGGCATTGCACGGCAGCGGACTATCCTTCAGAATGGTCTCAGAGGGCTGCCAGGTTGGTCTACAGCTGGGTGTGGGTCCAGGAGCGCCTGCCTTGGAGACAAGGTGATTTTTGTGGCAGCAGCTGCTTTTGAGAGCCAAGGCTCCCTTGAGAGCACCAGTTTGGTGTGGTGGTTAGGAGTGTGGACTCTAATCTGGGAGAACCGGGTGTGATCCCTCAGTCCTCCACATGCAGCTGCCAGTGTGACCTTGGGGCAGTCACAAGTTCTCTCAGAGCTTGATCTCTCTAGGGTAGTTCTCGAGAGAGCTCTTTCAGCCCCACCTCCCCCTCGCAGGGGGTGTCTGTTGTGGGGAGGGGAAGGGAAAGGAGTTTGTAAGCTGCTCTGAGACTCCAAGTGAAGGGCCAGGGGGTATAGATCCAGTCTCCTTCTCTTCAGATCTGACCAATTCTTCAGGATCTCTAATTTGTTACGGGACTTGAATCTAGCTCTATCCCAGAATGTTTTTGCACCTTTGGACCACTGCTGATTCTGTTTCAAGCATCATTCCTAAAGGCGTGCCAAAACGGGTGACAAACTGTAGGCCCGCTGCAATAGGTGCGGTGCAGTGTTCAGAACCAGAGCGGTCAAGCAGCGCAGGAAGGACTGGGTGTCTGCTTTGCATAAACATGCTTAACTTCATGCTGGATCAGTGAGAGACCCAAGATCCAGCAGCAGCAGCAGCAAGTCTTTGGAGCAAAATTCATGAATCGGAGCTGGCCTCTCCAACCCAGAGAAGAAGATCCCCAGTGGCCTTGGCGAAATACCCAGCAGAAGGGGGGGGGGGGGGGGGGGAGGTGTCAGGTCCGAGAAGTGGCTGTGGCATAAGACAGGATCCGGCCCAAAGAGGGACGACAGAGTGGCAGAGAAGACCTGCTGGCCTCGGCCACACAAGGGGGGGATGTTGTGCCACTGACCCTTTTGCCATGTTAGGGTGTGTGGTGGTGGTGGGGCTTTTCCATCTGTGGGACTAGGTGATCCCCCCACCTCCTCTTCCCCATATTGCTTCTCTAAGGGGCAAAGTGGGGAGGGGGATGCTCAGCAGAGGCCGAAGGAGGCCAGGCAGGGCCCCCCCCCCACTTGGCAGAACTTGGTCCGGAGGCCGGCCCCCCCGCCTCCCCCCTAGATACCTCCTCTTCCCCATATTGCTTCTCTAAGGGGCAAAGTGGGGAGGGGGATGCTCAGCAGAGGCCGAAGGAGGCCAGGCAGGCCCCCCCCCCCCACTTGGCAGAACTTGGTCCGGAGG